ACCGGTTTAGCAGAGAAGAAGCTGCAGAGCTCGGCCAGCAGCAAAGCCCTGGACACCGGCTCTTGCCGGAGGGACCCTGGGGTTGCCAGAGGTTGGGTTGGTGTCTCACCACACGGAACATGTCTTGTGGTTGCCCCCCCCACATCATTTCCCACCGCACCAGTAACACATTCAGTTGTTGGAGCTGGCTAGAAACCCATCGCTGGGGGTGGCTCACCCTGCGGAGCTGGGGGGAGCGGGAAGAGGGGCACTGGTTGTGGTGGAGAGCCCTGCCCGGCCCTCTCCGTTGGCCTTGTCACCTCAAATGCTCATCCCACCTCTCCTGGCTGTTTTCCAGGAGGTGAGGGCTGGCTGGTAGATGCTTCTGCTGAGCGATGCAAGACCCAAGCTCCAGGCTGCTGATCCACCATCCCTCTTCCAAGCTTGCTGGTCAATGCTCTGAGACGTCTCCTGCTTTATTTGCCAAATAAAGAAAAATTCACTGTGGATCTTGGTGTAGCCGTCTGTGGAGAACCTGGGGTGCCTGGGCATGTGGTCCCTTCCGGCGTCCATGTGTAGGTGATGACAAGTGGGGGCGATGCTGGCCTGAGCTCACCTAAATGAGGGCATTTTTGGAGCCCACCAGGATTGTCCTTCCTGGGTGCCTCCCATGGGGCAGGACCATGGCCGGGCAGAGCAGAGGCAAGGGGTGCAGTGAAGCTGGGAATCCTATGGACACAAAAGTGGAGGAAGGACGTGGTATATGGCCACAAAAGCTGAGTTTGGAAGGGCTTTGCCCACTGCCGCCATCCCACCCACCTTCCCTCCGCTCACCCTGCTGCCATTGCAGCCCTCAGCTCCCCTGAGCCCTGCTCATCCCCCAGCTCAGCCTGGGGGCTTTGGGACCTCTCAGCCCCACGGCACTGCGGGGCTGGTGGAAGGTGGAAGGTAGGGGTCTGAATCCTCTGGGCCGACCCGGTGCAGGGCTGTGCAGACAAAGCCCCCACTGCAATCAGATTGTCAGGTGGTGATGGACAAGTTCATATTTCTGAAATCCCACTCCATTCTTCCTTTTCTGCTCTGTTCAGGTCCCCAAACGCAGGTGGGAGAAACCACAGCCTGCCCAGGGCCACCTGTGTCCCCAGTGAAGCCCTGTCACCTCAGCCATGCTCATCCCCAGGGCTCAGGCAGGGCTCACAGGGGCTGAGGTCTGGCAGGGTGTGAAGCAGCTTGAGCCTTTCCTGGAAAAAGAAGCTCCTCCACAATCCTCCCTGCTGGCCTTTCCCACCTGTGTGTTTGTTTCAGCCCAGGATCTGTCTCGTTGCTTCACGAGGGCAGCAGGTGACCCTGACAGTGTTGTCCCAGCAGCTGAGACCCTCGGAGTGTTTCCAGATTCTCCTTCCTCCTCCCAGCGACCAGGAAAATACATTTGGGAAACTGCCTCTCCTGACCTTGAGGATCACGAGGGCTGGACGCGTCCCAGCAGCAGCAGAGCGAGGGACCTCACTGGGACATCCCGACCCAGCGTCACCTCCTCCCTCT